CTGCAGTGAGTGGGAATTTTCTCATGACTTCAGTGGTAACAGAATCGTGTTCCAAGAAGCGGGGAAAGATTTGGGTTTCTTATTGATTGCTATTTCGGAGAATAAAAATACCTTAATTATCTTTACTTTCTAGGAAACAACTGTCACTGGTTTAAATATTTGTAATTTTTAACCCTCTTCCCCTCCTCCCCCCGTGTATTATTAAAAACTGACTGACAACTTTTACCTTTGGAATGTTGAAAAAGTCTTAACTTCCCCGTTAATGTTTAATTTCTGAACTGAGTAAATGGACCCACGCTGCTGGCAAAAGGAAGGAAGGATGCAAGTGGAATGGGCGGGAGGGTTAATTTAGCAATCGGTCCTGCTTTGTAGCAGGCATTCTCTGAAATTTAGAGGATGGGAGATTCCACATTTGGCTTTCATTCTTTCTGGTCTGATTAAAAACGCCCCGATCCTTAATTCCTGTATGAAACGCGCATCGTGTCCTCCCGATTTCAAAGTCTTTGATTATTTTGATGAGAGAAATAACAAGAATAAGAATCAAAGAGGAGTTGTCTGTGCATCACAAAACGAAGCTACTTATTGTATCCGATTTGGTGTCATTTTCCCCTCCGATTTGAGGAGGAATATATATATATAAAAAAATCAACGAGCTGGTTCTTTTCCCTAGTAGACTGTTATTTTTGTAATGAGTTAAATATTTGTAATGCTGGTGTATTTTCTCGCTGGGCTGTAATCTGCGGGAGCAGTGTTGCTGGAATCCAATGTAAACAGATTGCTCCAATCTGAGGTTTGCTATTTAGTATGGAGGGTTCCGATTTGGATGTATTTAAGAAATGCTCAGCTGTCAAACCTAAAAAAAAACAAAAAAAAAACACGGGAATAGTGTTTTGACAGCGATATAGTGTGAAAGGAAATACTGTAGTCTGAATAAAATTGCTTATGTTCTGAGAAACGAAGGGTAATAGAAAAACACCTCTTGTTTTGCTATATATGTGTGTGGAAACTTGGCATATAAATTTCCACTTCTCTAAGAGATTCTGGGGAGAGGCTGCAGTCACCCCCAAATTAGGGCTTTTCAGACTGTGCGCTGCGAAAGGAGAAGTGGGAAATGATGTCCGTGTCTGTGCCTCCTTTCGGCAGAGTCCTGTCCTGACTACAAGAGGAAATGTTAGTGGAAATGCTTTATATATGTCTGGCCCAGAGCTGATTTGCAGGGGTGGCGGGAAATGTGGCAAATTTATCTAGCAGCTGTCACAAGATGGAACCTGTGTTTTTCAAAGGATGCAGTGAGTGGACTGTTCCTACACAAGTTACAGATCAGTCGTGCACTCCAAGCGTTTGACAGGGCGAATGAGGGCCCTCACTGCATTACCTTTAGAACTGGGAGGATCCCGTAGTAAACATTTGCTTAACTTCACCTTTCATTTTGAGAGGCAATCCAGTGGATCCAGGACAAATCCCCAAATCCCGTCGTTTATAGGCGTGTCTCTGCAGGAAGCGTGTGTTGGCTTGGAAGGGAAGGATTTCACGCGACTTTGCGGTGATATCTCCGCCTCGCAACTCTTCACAATTACGATCCTGGTTGGAATCAATAGCAAATGTTGTTTTTAAACACTTTTTTTTAACATGCCTTAGGGGAGGGGGGGAACCGCACAGCACCAGCAATATCGCTGAGCAAGCTGCTGTGGAGGTGAGATTCTGATCGGGCTGGGGAAACCCGGCATCTTTGTCCTTGGGGTGGGGGTGAGGGGGTGCTGCGCTGAGAATAGAGACTGTTGGGCAACGTGTTTGAAGGCCGATTTTAATATTAATCGTTTTGGTGGAGAGAAAGAGACAGAAGGGAGGTTGCCCCTCTGCGACAGTGATGATGGATGACCCAGCACCGCCAAACAACTCCGCCCCTCCATCCTCACCCAGTGTCAAAGCTACTTTACTTGCAGCTTTAGGAGTAGAATAAACACCCTCGCCCCTTCTAACGCATCGATTTGTGGATCATTATGAATCAATTACTGCTCTCGATGGGTTGTTGGTGGCTGAACTAAAACGGGCTGTGGATGGGGAAAGCTCTAGAAAGAAACACAGAACAGTCCTTATAGTAATACTGCTACTACTAATAATTAGTATTAATAATAATCATTCGGGTTTGGGCACTTTCCAAAGAGATCCCCCCCCGTTCCGCAGCTGAATTGTTTGCTGGATGGGAGCCACTCTGTGTGGTAGCCGCTCAACTTAAAAGAAGGGCTCTCAAACGAATGGGTTTTAGATTACACGCAATTACTTCGAGAAACAGCGACATATTCGCACCGTACCGCAGCAAACGCTGCCGTATTTAGTTTGTATTTAACTCCTCAAGAGAAACCCATTGGAATATAGAAAATGGGCTAGTCCCTGCGGCCGCACATAGGCCAAGTACGGGGAGTTAGCGAGGCAGAGTGACATTTTCAGAAGGAGGTTTTAGTGTGTGAAGTTGGGTTTCTCTCCCTGTTCCCATTTGTAGCAGTGTTTGAAGACCTCAAGGTGTTTCTATGGCTACCTTGTGTATGTGGGAGGGTCAGATGTGGGGGTACCCAAGAGAAAAGGCAGCTCTTGGGTGATCATTTATCAATGTCACCCACATAATGATTCTCTCTGCAGCCTTCTATTGATGAGGATAATTACATTAGCTCAGAGTGACTGATCAATGAAAAACCACCAAACAAAAACTTCTTTACTCTTCTATAATACCAAAAACAGATACAGAAATAAGATAGAGAGCCAGGGCGGGATTTCCCCCTTCCTTTCTCTTCACCAATAGATTTTTTTTAAACAAACAGCGGAAAGTAAGAAAATAATATTAGATCTATTACATTTAGAAGGAGGCTACAATTTTGCCTGTGAAAATGTTCCCTTCAAATCTATTGGCATCAGTCTTTCCCTGGTAAAGTATATCATTAGTTTGAATATGAACCGCTGCTTCTCTGCTGGGGTCCAAGTTCTTGCCCTATACACTTGTGCTGAGCGTTCTGAAAATGGAGCGTGAGCGTTTGCAGCTACGGGAGGATGTAAATAATTTTCCTTTCAAAATTACAGTTGTCTCCCTCGTTGTCCGGTTTTCTTTGTTTTTAATCACTTCTTAAAGCAGCTCTGCTAAAGACCGAATGTTGTCTCCGTAAGGCGCTGTTATATTGGTGAAAGTTTGCAGTTACATTGCGATTTCGCTCTTTCTAGAGTTAAATATCAACATTTTCTCAATTAAAGCGAATTGTAATGCTTTTACTTGTGAGTTGTTAAGGGCGCCATAAATTTTATCATAATGCAGCTAAGCTTCCGAGCACAGCCAGCAGACAGGTTGAGGGGTTGTTGTTGTTGTTTTCCTCCCTCTCTCTCCAAAGGGCCTGCATCAAAAAGTCGATCATTTTAAATAACAAGAAGGCAAACTGATGCGAAGAAAACATGATTAGGGACAATACCACTTCATGACGCTCTCTCCTTTCCATCTTGTCCTGTGTCTCACATCGTTCCGCGAAAGTGAGAGCATCCTGTTTGCTTAAAATATTTCCAAAGGGCACCAAAAGGGTTACTTAGTTTATTTGGATGAAGACTAGAACATTGTTGCATTTAGCAGCACGTGTTTTGTGTCCCCAGTTCCTCTTTCCCATCCCCCGCACAACACTGATGGACTCGAGCTGAACACGTATTTGCTCTATACAAAATCCTAGGTGGAGACTGCATTATTGTATGTGTTACATGTAATGTGCTTGTTAAATTAGTATACAGTGTTTACTGATATATCTTTAAGCACACAGCTTACTAATAAAGTAATTATGTACATAGTAATGAACTTATATTTCTAAACCAACTTGTAAACACGCCTCAAAGTTAACGTTTGAAAGTAAATGTAAGTCTGGAAGAGGCTATTTTGCATATCTTTGGCAGGCCTTTTAAAATCAAATATTGCCAAATTTCTTGTTATAAAATCCAGTTTAGGCGCCGGATTCTGATCTCATTTACACAGGGTTAACTCCACCATTGATTTGAGAAGCCGGCTGGGGCCCTGAGCTCACAAATAGCCCTGTATTGTCTAGAATTGCCCCAAAGGTGTTTAACATTTCTTAAATTAGCTCCTAGAAGAAATCGTACAAACTTCTTTGCTATTGTGCATGCCAGATCCAGATCAGAAAAGAGCCTTCGTCCTGAGTGATCTGCATTTCTTATTTCTAATATAGTCGAGCTAGCTACATCATTGCAAGGGGAACGGCTAGAGAGAAAATGGAAACAATTTCTATATTCCAAATAAAACTAGGCATTCCTAATATTTACCAAACTGCTGTTGTGTAGAAATCCCCACACTGTGCTCCATATACCCGGAGCAAACAACTCCCCTGGCCATCACATACACTCCTCAGATAATCAGTGTCCCAAATCACTTAATCAAGACCCCTAAATCAATAATGGGGTCTCTGAGTTTCAGTGACGGTTTAGGTTGTTTATTGAGCCAAGTTCCTTGCGTTACACACATTCACTTCTAGAAAAGGGGATGGGGTTGCCACTCAGTCTCGAGTGTCTGGGTTATAAATTCAGTGCGAGGGAGAAAACAAAGGCATTATCTAGTTCTCACCCAACCAGGTTTCAAACTAGGATCTTACTTTGTTGTACAGTTGGATTTGTCTGGGGGAATGGGGGTGGGGGGAGAGATGGAATCCATGCCGCTGGCCTTTTCCTGCGGATCCGGGTCCCCACCACAGAAACCCATTTCCAGATCTATGAGCCCCGAGTGGATAAACACCCACAATTACTATGGGACAGGGACGAGTGGCAAAACCTGAATGGAACGCAGCTTTGGCGTTGGGTGAAACTAACGATGTGCGGCTGCTTTACCCTTACAGGGAAGGAGGAGGGGGGAGCCCTTTCTGATTAATAAGTAGCAGGCTAATGTTGAGGGCTTTTTCTGCCCGATTGCCTTTTTGAATTAGAGCCGATTTCTTCACACTTCAATAGGGCCTGTCTCTTTTAAAATGACTGACAGATTTGTTTCTCCTTTTTTCTCTCCCTGAGACTTAATGATGTAAATTTTCTAATTAGTTAAATCACGTTGCTTAAAGGCCTTAATATTTACCGGGCAAGGAGTGAGAGTCCTGAGTGGATCGCTTAAAATAGCCAAAGAAATAACGTTAGGCTTTTAAAAGGGGGGGGGGCAGGAGGGATTTTGGGGGGAGGGGCGATATAACGTAAAACCAGAGGTAAAGTTCAGCCTGGAGCTTCTTCCTTCCTCCTCCCCTCAAACCCCGCTTTTATTTTTCAATCAGCTAAGATTTAATTAGGAGCCCTCAGGCCGGACGATCTGATATTTTCTCATTAGTTTCCCATCAGTAGTCTTGAGTGTTAGATTGGCTTAAAGGTTGTCAACATTTGACCAATTTTATTTAAGGAAAAGAAACCACGCATTATAGCTCCGGGACCTGAGATCTGAAAATAAATCCTGCCCGGATCAGCGGAACTAACAGGCGAAAAAAATGTTGACAATTCATCGTTGTATTTAATAAGTTGCAGTTGCATAATGTATAGCGCGCAGGGAGAGAGACTGCAGCGAGCCAGTCCCAGGCAGTGACACCGGCACGGGCTGCAGCTCGCCCGGCTAAGGTGTATACACCCTCACACAAGGGTGTGATAAATACCCGGCGGGTAGCTAAGGACAGAGAAGTCAGACAAGGCTGAGTTACAAGAAGTGAAACCCAAGTAGAGGAGCAGGTTAGGGTTTGGAAACTGCAGCTTTTGTTGTTGTTGTTCCAGCGCAATGAAACAAGCCTTGTGGTTACTGCTCCTTTAGCCCAGACACAACATCAGAGCGCCCCCTGCTGGCCAACTGAACAGAGCGCCTCTGGTCCGCAGCACAGACTTTTCAAGCAAAGCTTGCCAGTACCAGGGAGATTTCCTGCCAGGGCTCAATGTTTAAATATGTATGTGTGTATATATATAAGAAAGGACACTCTCTGTTTCCCCCCACGCCTTCCTCTTGGCCTCAGGGGATTATAATATAAACTGTTTAGGAAACTGCCATTAAAAAAAAAAACTACAAAAACTGCAGATCTAAAAAGGGGGAAATGTTGATAACAAGGATAAATATACCGGTGTAGCTGCTGAGGTTTAGTTTGTGTCAATTTTCCTGCACTCGCGGAGAAATACAAACATCAAAAAAGTGATCTTATCGTCCTGGGTTAACGACGGCACAGGGAGAAGAAAGGCGGGTAACATTTTGTGTCTTGTCTCCCCCCCGCCCCCTAGAAAAGTTAAACCCAAGATATTACAGAATACCGAGAAAATGCCTGTGCCGGTGAGCATTTTGTTACTACTGTAGTCGAGCTCTCATCCAGGTAACTGCTAAAACTTGCCACCTAGCTCCTTGATATTAAAGGTAATTATACTTATACACTCCCTCTATATTCATACCACGTGTATGTGTGCCTACACCTACCTATACAGCATTGTGCATAAGCATTCGGTGGGAAGCTAAAAATTACAGTGAAACATGACAAAATAAGTGTCACATTTTCCCAATCATTTATATGTAAGCTTACGATTTCTGCTTATTAAAAATAGCAAAATCAGCTCTACTAAGAACCTGATGCTATTGCATTCTAGGGTTGTTGGGTTTTTTTGTTGGTTTGTTTCTTATTACGCAATGGATTTTTTCGCACATTTTGTGTATGCGCACACACACGTTAGAATAATTAAGCCTAGTCATTTTTTTCTATAGGGGCTGTAATGATCACCTTGAACTAATATCTAAATTGTTATTAGCACCATCAGCTACTGGGAGAAAACGACCTGGAAATTCAGCGATAAAGTGGGATCCTCAGGTAACAGCAGAAGCACCTTTTTGTGCTCCTGTAATACTCAAAAGCGCTCAGACAGTGGGCAGTTGCCTTCCTGGCAAATTATTCTCCATAACTTCGTGCGGGAGAGCAGACGCTTTTCTTCTAATGCGAGAAGAATGCTGGGGTTTTTTTCAATGTCTCCTTTGGAGGTGCTGCCGGTTCAGTGGGGCGGACTCAATCCGGAATGGAGCAGGCAGCCCCCGGTGGAAAACAGTGACATGTTACAAAAGCAAAACACCATTTTAAAGCCCCAAATAAAATCGTAAATCACTTGTGTTAAAAGAGGCACCAGGGCCACTGTGTAAACTGAGGTACAGTTAAATATTTATAGTTTAAAGGATTATTTTGTCTATGTTAGAAGAAACATCAAGTTCACTTGGTTCAGGGCTCTGTCTACACAGAAATACAGGCACAACAATGCCCTGCAGAAGAACTGGAGGGTTTGGATCATGGCAGTAGCTCCCCAAATTTATTTTCGTTTTTTTAAATGTGTGTGTGTAGAGGGAGGAGGAGGTGGGGAGAGGAATATATAACTGAACAGCAGAAAACACCTTTCTGGAAACAAAGGCAAGGAGCAGCATTTCAATTGCAAATGCATCAGCTAGAGACCAAATAACAGTTGTGGGAAGACACTCATAAAATTAATGTACCTTACTTAAAAAAAAATCAAATGCTTACTACAGTTACCTCGGTGCAGCTTAATAAAAAATTAGCCTTACTGACAGTCTTGTCAACATCTTAAGTAAATTATCATAGCGCTGGTCTTTGGAGAAGAGACCCTACACTTCTTGCTAAAACACCTCCTATCATTAATCTTAAACCACTTGAAGATTATGATGGAAAGAATGGGATCACTAGCCATTATCATCTCAAATTGCTGTTAAAAAGTCCGCTGTTTATTTTTTGCAACCAAAGCAAATGTATCTGGGAAATGCAGAAGAGGGAAGAAAGGAAAACACAAGAAAGGCAGAACAATTGAGGCGAATCCTGTTGCAACCCCGATGATAAACACATGGAAAAAGCTGTTACTGCTCTTTGGATTGCTGGAATTTGGGCAGACGTTAGAAAAATAAACAAAGCGATGGCTCCACATCAGCTCTGTAAATGCAATGATACAGTCAATGGAAGGTAACTCTTTTTCTAAATTACTTTTCTTTTTCCTGAATACTAAATATTTGCTTACCTCCGCATCGACCAACTGATAAATACTACTTAAAACTATTTAAAAACTACTTACACCTTCAAGTGCTCATTTTCTTATACAAAATCATTTCCTTTTTATTGCTGTCTTTTTAAATGTATTGTATGATTTTATAATATCAATAAAGTCTATAATAGCATTTATTTATGAAGATCCTACACACTTGAAAAATCTGCTCCCAATGAAATCTTTTCAAGAGGGATCTATGGTTTTATTGTAGTTCTTCCTGTTGCAATCTGATTCCACTTTAATTTGCCTTTTTTTTTTACAGCTGGAAAATAAAATACTCTTTTTGTTCAATTAATTCCAGGATTTGGCATAAACGGGGCAATCTGCTGTGTTCTAGTCATTCAACCTGAAATGTTATCCGCGTACCTTTGCACCTTAAATGAATGCACAGTTCGAGGTGAACGGTGCATGTAGCTGAATGCAACCAAAATGCAGATTGTAAAGTCCTTCTTTAAAATGCAAAAGTTCACAGGAAGGTTTAACAATACGATGGGAAACAATCGACTCCCTTCCCCAAAGACAGACACAGAGAGAGAGAGAAAGAGAAACCTGAGGATGCAAATTAAACTAAACTAAACCCATCTCCGTGCTTTGGCGAGTTGAATTTTCCTGTTGTTCCTACGAGAAATCCATTTCGATATCAGTGTAATAAAGAGAGAGGTAGGTGGTGGTGGTTGTTTTTTTTAACGGAGACAATATTTTTATCTTGACGTTAAAGGGATTCGAACGGAAACTTCTGCCTTAAGCCCAGGTACGTGTAGCACAGACAGAGAGCTCCACCGCCTGCTCCCCCGCATTGCCCCAGCAGTGACCTCAGCCCGGAGATGCAGAGAGGTGAGAGGTGACTCTGCGAGCTAGCGCAGACCTGGCCCTTTTAGAGCCATAGCGTGGAACTGGGGCTAATCAGTCCTTTACTGGATTAAAATATAGGGAGCAGAAGGGAAGCCCCTTCGTTGCAAAGAGCATACACTGGGAACGAAATAGCATTAAAATGAAGAGAATACTGTCATGAGCAGACGGATTTAGCACTAACAAACAGTTTTGTTAAGGTAAACTGTAAAATTATATATACACTGTACCGCTAGATCAGCTAGATATACACCTCTGTATATGTGTGCGATCATATCTATCTATTACACACACTGTCATGCAATAAGGTTATAAAGTTATGATACAGCATGGAAGAACTGTAGTCCTATATGCTGTGCAACTGAGATGTGCACAATGAGTAGGTTGTGGAACACTGCACTGGCGTGTTAAAATAATTGTCTCCATATCTAGAGATCCACTATTTACATTATAATGCACAACTAAGTTACATAAGAAATCCGGGAAAGATTGGCAAATTGGGTACACATTTCCAAGTTATTCATTTCGCTCTAACGTATGGAAACAGAGAGAGAGTAATAACTCGGAAATATATACATTATACACACCCACATACACACAGATAATGGAACATTTGCAAATTGATCGCTTAAAACATTTCCCCTAAAATTAGGAAATGTTCCTTTGTTATTTGGGTACCAGCGATTTTTAATAACCACGTCGAATCAAAGAAGATGGTCAGTTGTCTGGTTAAAGTAATCTGCTCTAATGCAGTTATTTTACTAGGTTAATATGCAATTGCAAGAAGAATGAGCATAGAAATGAACTGGGATGCAAGGGAAAATGTTTTCTAAACTAAAGAATGTGGGGGGAATGGGAATATTTGGAGCAGGATAGGAACCTGTAGTAAAAAATAGTTGATTTTTGTTGCTATAACCCTGCTAAAGCCAGGTTACAAAGTTTAGTTTTTGTTTTCCAGGAAGTAAAACGTTCATTTTAAACATTAGTAAGCGGTTTCTTGATTAGTGGTGGAATGAATTTCAGGAGTGGAGCTAATAGAGCTCGGAGTGAGGAAGAAATGATCGTGTACGGTAGCAGCAATATTTCCCGGAGAAATCAAACAGACCCGCAGCTCAGGTAAGCTGCTACACGAAACTATTTTTAACTGAACAAAAGACTGGGCAAACAACATCTGACGTCAGTGGCCAGCATCCTCAGCTAGTGAAGGAGAGATACTTAAAGTGGACGACGAGCTTATCTCACAGAACCTTTCTTCTGACCCCCTCCGCCTCCCCACCCCAAAATGCATAAAGGAGGCAAAGCTCACTCAGCATCGTAGATCCTATAGATGCAGAGGTTCTTATGAAGCACCTCTTGGTTGATCCCGCCTGTGTTAAAGAGCAGCCTCATAGCCTAAGGGGGGGGGGGTGGATTGTAAACCGCGGAGATGGGAACTACAGAAGCGAGGCTAAGGAGACTTGAGGGAGGTAAGGGTTAAGAGGTGATGTAAAGGACAGGTGTAGCAAAAAGCTCTGTTGCGAAGTGACAGCTGTTACCAAAAATATTTTGCAACTTTTGGGACTGTCAAGTGTGGAAGTTCCTTTAGCCCACAAGCCTTTTCTCTATGTATCTGCAAAGGATCCGAATCCCTAATGAGCTGCATTCATTGTTAAGGGTAGGTCTAGTTCTGCGCCTGGTTTATCTCTAACACACACATCTGCTCGGGAGACAAAGGCAAGTGTATTTATACTGCCCCTCTCAGGAGCTCCCTGAGTGAGTACCTTGCTCGCGACCGCAGACTGGAGTAAACAGAAGAGACGTTCCAAGTTTAGCGATCAGAACAAGGCTTGGAGGCGCTTGATTTATTGTGAGCCCTATTCGCAAGCGCTGTAAAGGCGAGTGGTCATTATTTCCTAATAAACAATTCCCTTCATACCGAGCTGTGCTGACTGAGTGAGTGACTCACTCCTCTGTCCTGCCTGGAAGGAAGGATTGACCCCCGCGGCTTTCTAATACTGTAAACTTTGGAAATCTCCTCACACTGTTTGAAACGATCATCGCTCGCTCTTTCTGTTGTGCAGGCGGCCTGAGGGCTGAATGGGTTTCCTGAAGCACCCGACTGGGGTGCTAAGGGATCTCGAAAGGTTAGGTTTTCCTAGCTGCTGCCCATAGTCTGCCACGCCTTGCAAGGAAGCCTGACGTCTGGGTAGGGACGGAGTGATCAGGGGCTGGGGGCTCTTTGCCAAGGAGGTTGGAGTGGGGTGAACGCAACTGCACGCGGTCATTGCAGGCATGAAACCTTGCAAGCTCTGGGCGAATTCTCCTTGCCTCCTCCCCCTGGTCTTCCTGCGTCTCCTCCGCCTATGCAGCCAGAGTCAACAAGGGGCCGCGATTCGTGTGGCTGAGTTAGTTAAAATAAATAAACCCACGAAGATTCACTGGCGAGCAATGCCGCATCGACCCGAAGGTTTATTAAGAAGCGAGGCTGCTCCAATCCCTCTTAAAAGCGTGAGGGCTGCAGCCAAGCAGAAGTCAAGTCACACTTGTTATTCAATTCAAACTTCCTCTTGCCCTGCCCTGGCCGTGCGATCCCGGGAAAGCTCACACACCAAAGCCATTGGCGATCGCTACCCACCGCTGCTCAGCCCTTTGCCACCCGCCACAGAGCAGAGTGGGGAAAGGAGCTGGCACAGCGAGCCAAAGCAAACACAGCGAGCCTACGGGACACGTTGGGAGATGGCATCAAACCCGCTCAGCTTGTTCATCTTTTCCCTCCGCGCCGATCTGAACAAAGATGCAAGGAGAGGGTCTGCCACAAAGTCCCTTTTCTTTCCTATTGGCAATGGGGATTGTTAACCCAAATAAAAATCCTTATAGCTGTCTCCTGGTGAAGATGCAATTGCTGTTATTGCCAATCACGATTAGCAATAATTAGCCCAAAGGCATGAAGGATTCAGCTGCCAAGTTATTCTGAATAACCTGTTTGGAACAGGCAACAAAACATTAGGTCCAAAGACAAACTAACTGCAAACTTCTAGTAACAGAGCTCTTCAAAGAGGATCAGATTCCAAGTAAGATCCTAACTCCTGGCTCCTCATGCTACGTTTTCTCTCAAGTATCTTACGCCTCCATTATTATTTTTTCTTACATCCTGTATTTCCCCCACAAAGGTCTCTGCAAGCATGAAGTAGCAACTAAGCATCTTCTCCAAACATCTTTACTTGTTTACTCAGCTCTCTCCATTTTAAATACAAATTAAACAAACTGGAGGGATAATGCAGTCCCAGAGCCAAGCCAGAGTTGCTCTGTTTATACTCTGAAACTCATCCTTAGGCCCTCTGAATTGGGAAAGTTTAAATGAAGTGTAACTAGAAGGAGGTCACAGGTGACTGACAAGTTCAAGCTACTTATCTCAATTATCAAATAGTTTTATTTCCAAATTGTGTTCAATTTGATTTTCCTGCCTCACCACAAATTAGCTTAGAAAAAAATCAAATGAAAGCAGACAATTTAAGCCAAATCCTGTAAACCATTATTTATTTGTAAAATCATTTTTGTGATATATACTCCCATTAATGGTTATGCAGTTGCCAAATCTTTCCAAGTGGATTTTGAAATGTAGCCATCAAATTATTTCAAAGGCAGGACTATTAGGAACAAAAATAATTATGAACTTTCAGAAGCATTATAAAAAATGAGTTTCTGAATGTTGTCTCTTTAAATTTCACTTAAATTTTGGTTTCATTTAAGCCTTGAGGCACAGTAGAGAGCTATTCAGTGTCTAACAAGGAGTTTGGAAAATAATGCTCAGTACCAGAATAGAGCACAATTTCTCCATAAAATATGGATAAGGAATCAATTCATAAACACAAATACCCACTAGAACTGAGTTTTAATATAGCATTTCATATGAACATTATTATATGCATTATTTAGGAGATAACAAAAGCTCTTCAAATCAAGGCTTATACAGTCACATCTGGTTTTTTTCCCCTTCTAATTTTCATTTTTTAGAGAAAATATTAGGAAAAAAAACTACACTTCCCCCTGTTACCATATATATTAACTGTTACCATCAGCTTTTAATCAGCAACATGTATATTGCCTTAGATTTACAGAATCCATTCCATGTTGCTTCTTTCAGAGGACAGTGAAATGAGGATACTATCTTTATTCAGTTGTAAGATTTGATGTTAAAAAACAAAAGCACAAACACACTTGTCTTACCATTTGTTTTAAGTATATATAAGTACACACACATTGAAACTGAAATAATGAACTTTAGATGACATTATTTGAGCAATCAGACAAATCATAACACAGACCTCTCCAAATAAGAAGTGGTTAGAGTGAATTCACCTACATTAGACCCAGAGTTATCCCTAACCAAAGGTATTCTACTTGGGATATTTAGTAAATTTTGCTGTGTAAAGTCCTATCCCTGCACTGTCAGTACAAATTCTTTAGGCCCTCCAGTCTAAATAAGATATCTCCAGTAACCAGGGAAAGATAAAAAACCTACTCTTAGGTTTCAGATAGTTTGCTATAATTCTTTTGCTAACCCCATTTTTTTAATAATACGATTACTCTATAATCTAGGTGAAAGGATAAATATTGAAGAAGCCTCCTTTGTGAGCCATATTTTTTTCCAGTGTACACCAACACAGCTTTGTCCTTTGGATGAAAAGGCAGACAAAGTGTTTTCAAAATAGAAACACCTAGGATTATTTTGAAAAACATAAGCAGTTTTTTAAAACACTCTGGAGTTTTCTGAACAACTCTGATGTACTCACATTCTTATCACAACTATTTTTTTTTTTACAATTGTAAGTGGATATTCAAGCTAAATTGATGCTTTATGTATATCCTGTCTCAATTTGTAAAACTATTCTCTGGAAGGAGATAATTTGAAAAAAAAAAATACAAAAAAGAAGAAACGATACCACTGACAACAATTTACTTAAATTCTCAAACCTTGAAATTGATGCATCTCCTATCAATCATAGTCAGAAGATACGGTAAAACACATCCAACATTTGTATATCAAAAGTGGGACTAAAAAAACCTGTTTTGTTCAATTTAAACATCCTTCACCGTGTTGTAGTTTTATATGCTGATATTGATGTGTGCACTTATTACAAGTTAGATTTCTCCTTTCAAACATCCGTAAGGTATTAACCTCACAAAATTAAAGTACATGCCATTCTACTGTACAGATGTTTGTTCTCACTGGCTTACTGACAATGAAATATTTATTAAATAGTAATAAGGAGATATTGACTTCTCTATTCTGTCAATATGAAGATTTGTTGATCTGTGAGGTTAATATTGATGAGGCAGAGTGAGGTAAACATTTGGTCAGGAGGGTAAATAAATTCTGATATTGACATAAATAAAACTTAGTACTAATATGAAAACTAACCTTTTTGTTTTTATTGGTTACACACACATTAGTGCAACCTATCAGCATGTGAATGCATAGAGCCATATCGTATGCTTACGCCAATGTCAACACTTGACACTAGTTTTGTAGAACATAGTCCAAAAATGTCTGTCAGAGGAATTTAAAACTAAGCTCAAATGATGCCAAGCACTTGCGGTCTTTAGTCATGCTGTGTGTTCATTTCAAGCAGACAGTGTTCGTTTACAAATGAAGTAGTTCCTTAAAATACTACTGGATGGGCTCTGTTTATGTCCTCAATATTCTTCATATGAAGGAGACTTCGTTCCTGCTTAAGAATGGCTTTGAAAGAAAAATAGGATGAGCTCTTCTGTCAAAATATTATTTTTGTTTGTTGTCTCATCAAAATGTCAGTAGAAGTCTCCCCTCCTCTCTTTACCCTCTGCCACAGAACACAATAGCATACAGGCTTTGAACAATACCAGAAGCCATTTAACTTGATGGGTCTGGCAGAAGGAGCTACTATTTTGTTCATTATTTTCCTCAGATTTCCCTTCATTTTATTTAAGAGAAGCTCAGTGCTGCTTATTGTGGAAGAATCTACTGTTCCATCCGTCAGGTGTGTCTCTCCCATCTTATATTATTTTAATGTATCATATTTATGTGTTGGAGACAACGTGTGTGACTTGCATCTTGGTTTTCTGGGTAGAGATTAAAGTTATACAACCTAGTATTTAAGGTGATAAAAGATAATAGAGCTGCGGACAGAAAAGCCACAAGCAACAATATTGTCAACCTTCAGATTTTTGATCACCGCTGACGGCCCTGATCCTGCAATCAGATTTACACAGGCAGAGCCTGGCACTCATGCAGAACTCCGCTGACGGCAGTGCGGCTCTGCATGGGCACAAGGGTCCACTCACATGGATCGTACTGCAGGATTGTGGCCTAACATATTAAAATAATACTTTAGCAGCCCTTGTGAAATGAGATGGTGATCTCAGTCCACTTCACAGTGTAAAGGTGTCCACTCACTCACCAAATCCCACCACAACTGGGAATGGTATTGGTAGCCTCAGCAGAGAAGTCAAAGCTAATGGTTATGAAGATGGCTGTTTATCCTCTCCCCTCTGATGCACCCTCTGAGTTAGAGCGAGGGCACTCTGGTGGGGCAGCATGAGAAAGTTTGCATTGTCATTATCTGTACTGTTCCTGCTCCAGGGCAGGCAATCTGTCACTTACTATACATGCACACCTAAATATATTAGAAAACAATCACAATATAAGATCAGTTAGCTCTTTAAGACTTGTCCTTCTAGTATTTCTGAATTATGTGCTTGCATGTGTGGAGGGGGCCAAGAATGTCTTTTCTTTTCTTTTTCCTCATACTTCAGTTGTCCTCACATCCTTACAGGAGGGCACTATCACTGGTTGGTTTCACCTGATCCTGCAGAACCATGCAGGCAGATCCCTGTGTGCGCCAGAGCGCCAACTAAAAGTTAGTGGGGTTCTGTGCAGGCACACGGTTCTGCCCACATAGTTGTCTTTGCAGGACTGGGGGCCTAAATGTTCATCAACAGTGTTAGGTTCAGCAAGCTGGACTGAACTGGTTCAGGGCCAGAATCTGCTACCTTTCCTCATCTTCAGTAACACCTTATTCCATGAGTAGTTTCATTGATTTCAGACTACTACTCAGCAAGCATCAGGATGGCGGTCACCTAGGGCGCTACAATTTGGGTGGTGGCAACCGCGGTGGTATTTCAGCGGCAGGACCTTCCGCCGCCTCTGTGGGGGGGCAGCATTTCGGGACGGGACCTTCTGCCGCCTAGGGCAGCAGAAAAGCTGGCAGCACTCCTGCTTGTTGCTGCTCCCTGATAGGGTTGGATGTTCTACCCATTTATGACATTGGGCCACCTATTCCCTGTAGCAGAATCCAAAAAAAGGTTACTCTTAAAATCTGCTGATTGGTGTACACCGGGACATAGTTAATGCAAAATGGGGTTTTCAAAAGCACCTACGTGATTTAGAAGCACAAGTCCCATTAATTTGCAATCCGTATGGGTGCAAATGACAGTCACGGCAGCTATGATTTCAGGATCTGGAATTTGGGCTTCAAAGTCACATAGGTGCTTTTGAAAATCCCATCCATAGCAATTTTAGAAGCGGTACTCTTAGGTGTGTTAAAAGATATCACCAAATAACTTGGGTATTTCTGGGTAACAAGTGTACTTGACAGATACTGGCAGACAGCATATAGTATTCCTAGGCTAACTAGAGCATTCCAGTCCATTCCCCTGCAAGGCCAGGGTATATTTCCTCAGAAGAGTACATTAAGATACCAAACCCATACTTGATCTGTCTGTAGTTTCAGTGCTGTAGGTCTAATACCTGGATTTCTTACGGGGCAAATAATAGATGAACAATTGCTCTGCCAATGGAGTAAGCTGAGTAAGAGAGAAAAGTCAATAATAACTAGAGGGCCTCCTATGTCTAGTTGCACATTTCACAAAACGGATTGCATGTGGAAGAAAGGCAGCAATTGTGTAAACCAGGTATAGATAATTCCCATGCTGTGAAAACCTCTCTACATTAAGAACACTGGTGGAGTAAAAGGTTACAAGAAAAAGGGTAATAAAAAAAAATCAAAAGAAAAGGAAATCAAAATAGGTGCCTTTGCTAGTAAAGAAGCCACACTCTGACATGGTGGTCTTATACACAAATACATTTGTCTTTCAGACCCTCTGCTCTTGATTAGAATTCTGATGCCACTGGAGGGGTTACAATTTTGTTGAGTTTCTAGATCTCAATTGTGCTGTCAAGGGGTCATTCTTTCTGGTAATAAGGTAGCTAGTGGCCCCTGGGAGAGAGGGAAAACAATTGACTCTTGAAAGCAGAAACATATACTGAAGTCTAGAGTAGGTTTTTGGCAGTGTACCAGGTCTTTTCTCATAGCATTTATCATTGTAGCAATGAAAAAATTGTGGGAGTTCTACAGACAGTTGAAAAAGGAAAAAAGAACACAACAACAACAACAACAAAAACTAGAGGTAATTTATTTTGAAATGGTATTTAAGAGCAGGTTGTTTTTTGTTTGCCACACTGTTGGTTCACTTGTTATAGATGTGGATCTCATTAAATAGAAATATGTTGCTTATTTTAAAGCAAATGATTATCAAATGACTATACTTCAAAACATTTTCCCTTTAATTTGAAGTGAAGTCATTTGAGTTTGAAACATATGCCTCTGCTAAATGCAGAATGCTCTGTTGCCAAAAAAAGACAACTTCATGCTGAGTCCACTGCTTGCAAAAACTGGTGATTCCGGATGTCGCTGATAGTATGAGTCTTGTCAGTAAGTCTTTACAGAGGTCAGTACTAAAGTTTCTCTTATTACCACTAGTTACTTTTGATTCTTTAAGGCCAAAACTGGAGTTTTATCTATCATCATACTAAACCAGAACAAATGAAACATTGCTTTTGGTTGGGTTTTGATGTATTATTCCATGCTGTACAACTGAATGAAACTCACTAGTTGGCAAACAATTCACACTGAGCTCTGGATGAAAATATTTTCTAAAGGGTTACGGTTGGCTTTGGTTCACAAACCAGCCCAGTGGGCAGTATCTGTATCTCTTTATTAGAGTATATGTGTGTAATTTTATATATATATAAATATAAAATTATTGTCACCAAATGTAATTTAAAGTAATCTAATTTAAACTATACTTAAAGGATTTAAAATGGCTTTTCAGATTTATTATTACTATTATTGACCCCAATTCTGCAATTGAGAGTGTGCAGGCAAACTGCTGTAGCCACATGCTGTCAATTATAGGATCAGTGCCTAAATCATGTTTCAACCAAGGATCTCAAAGCACTTCACAAAGGTTGCTGAGCAGTATAATCATGCTCATTACATTGAAATGGAAACTGAGGCAGAGATAAATTAAATGATTTGTCCAAGAGCACACAGAGAGGTAATTGCAGATGTGGGAACAGAATCCAGGTCTACTGCCTCCTGCCAGAGCTCCACTCACTCCCTTTTCCTGCATGTCTATTCTCTGCCTTCTTCCCAAGGGCTGGGGTGGGGGAGGAGTAAAAACCTCATCAAGCAGCCCCATTCTTACACTGTTACTAGCAATATATAGATACTCAGTCGGAGAAGTAAGGAGTCTTTTACTGCCCTAACCAGTCACAATCCTGCCCAGTTATTTTTTTCTGTCATGCCTTTATCTGGGCATGCAGAAAATAGAACTAATCATTTTCAGTTCTATATTTTACTAAAAGGTAGCATTAGCCATTTATTGATCTTAAGGCTAGAAAGAACCATTATGATGATCATCTACTCTGGTCTTTTGCCTAACCCAAGTTATAGAATCTCACAGCACAGGCCATACAACCTCACTGTCATGTTCCCAGCTTTTTCTTGACCAACTTGCTTAAAGGAGGCAAATCAAATAAAAGTTATAGTACAGTTAACAGATTGAGTCTCAGGCCATTTTTGGAGAGCTCTCTTCTGCTTTCTTTTTCCAATTAAAAATCTACTGGTGATACCTCTTATTCTGCTCCTTGCTATGGCTGATTTCCAGCCTAAGCAGTTTCTTCATGGAAAGAGGTTCCTGGAATTACCAAGTCTTTTAATGCAGCTGTTCTGGTATTCAGTAAATTCATCAGTCTGGGAAGAAATATTGGCTGCTTCTTCCCAGCATTATTCCCAAAGGTGATCTCTGGATGTTGGTATGTCACCTGACAAAACCTAGATATGCTATGACCCGGATCCATAAAGGGACTTAGGTTTTGTGATGCTGAACATCACAGTGCCTTACTTTCAGGTGTCTAGAAAATGATTGGAACAACACTATGATCCACAAACCCCAAGTTTGGCACCGAATTCCCTACACAGTGAATGGGAGAGAGAGGTTCCTGAGAATGAGATCCACAAAAACTAGCATGCTAGGCAGGGCGTCGCCTAAACTAGCCAATGGGAGATGTCAATGAGAGGCGTGTGTCCCAAGC